GGATGGATGGGCCATGTTGTCACAGCTTGGATTCGTACGGGCAATCAAATCAAGCAACCTTTCCCCCGCTTGGTCCGAATGACTCACCGGATCACTCAATCATGCACGACACCACTCGAAACCCTAAACCCCTAGCCGCCCTAACCCTACACCAGATGTCCGTGGGATGCCGAAACCAGAAACAATCCCAGCGATGCGATCCAAGCCTTCGAGGGGACCAAGGTCTCCGAAGGGTCAATTTCCTGGCATGTCCCGGGTTCACAGAATATCGAAGCAAGGGAAAACCAACGCTCCTGCCGCACATCCCCACTGCATGGCAAGACCTGGCGACAGTCGCCAGCACCCAGCACGGAATATTAAACAAAGGTGCCTCGATCTGCTTGTCCCCTGGCGCAACGACCTGATCACCGGATTATGGATCCGACTTTTGAGATCCAAAGCATGCTGAGCCCAAGGCGTCAGCAATGTTTGGCCGTGAAGTCGGTTCCTCCTGAACAAACGAATCCCCGACAGCTTCTGCAACTTAGAACCAAGAATCTTAAGCGCCCAGCAGCAGAACCCAAAGCAGGAGCATTCGGAACCACCTGGGAGGGTTAAGGATTTGGGGTTTAGGGTTCCGGTGGTTAAGGGGTTTACACTCTTCTAGGGGTGACTTCTTTTGCTTTTCTCCGCAGCTAAACCCACGAACCCCAAACCTTTAAGGCCAAGCAGGACAACAAATCCGGCAAGCCTGCTCCTTCGGAGAGCCATCGACATTGAAGAAAACGTCATAGTAAGGTGGGTCCTCGCACAATCGAAGGGAAGGGAAGGGATGGGAAGGAAGAACACCCACCACCTACATCCTCCAGCCTCCAGATGCTTCTTCAATGCGTAGTCGGACGCAGCGACCCAGGATCGGAAGCTCTTGCTCTCGGCAACCAGGGTGTAGGAAACTGGGCGAAGGTTTGGGATTCGGTTCTCTTCCCTTTCTCTCTCGCTCTCTCTCTTCTCTCTCGGCAGTAGCCCGCCCCCCCTTCCCTCTTTCTTATGTATTCCGACGAGAGGCAGATGGCATTGCCAGCTTGTGGCCCAGACTTGCGGTGGCCGCTCACTGCCACTTTCCAGCTCATGAGAGCGATGCTGTCCGAAGCATCTGCCCCTGTAATCTCTGCCGAATGCTACCTTCTGAAACTGTCTGCTCGACTGTCCTGTATGCATGAGGAATGCTGTTGAAGTGATC